CAAAATTATAAATTTCCTAATTTATCTATTAATTTGTGATTAATATTGGTTCTCATAGTTACCGCAAACTAATTAGTTCTAATTTGATTAGGCTCATATATATATATATATATATATATATAAAGGTCTAATCAAATGAAAACTAGATAGTTTATGATAACTGTGAGGTTCAATATAAGTCAATCAGTTAGATAATTAATGTTATTTACTAAAATAAAATAAAGGGTAAATTAGTAAATTGTGTTGATCATTGAATTTGTTTTAATTAGTTTAATATTCTAATATACTTTAATTAGTTTAATATATGTATATATATATATACACACACACAGACACACAAGGACCAAATCCGGTGGCCTTCTCCGGCACTCACCACCACTCCGATGACCTCCTCCGGTCATCTTGTCTGACCAAGACGCCGTCTCCTATGATTAACTACTAAACACCCACCTGTGGGTATTCCTGACACCTGATATCACAGTAGTACCATAAGTTGGTATCACAGTGGTACCAAAGTTTACTTGATGTGTTTTTTATATCATATTGTATGTATTTTTGGTAACACATGATGTTCGTTGGAGGCCGGAGGTAGGAAAGAGAGTGAGAGAGAGAGGGTAGGGATAAAAAATTAAAAATACCTAAAATGTCTTTTAATTATAATTTTAAGTCAAATTATCAAAAATATTAGTTTTCTAATTTATCCATTGATTTATGATTAAGATTAGATCTCACAACGATCACAAACAAATAAATTCTTACTTAAATATATATATATATATAGTATAAACAACCTTGTGTATTTGTACAACCCTTGCAACCCAATTAATTGAGATATTTATAGAAATGATGGAAGTTCATTTATTATGATTTGAATATTTATGGAATATGAATAGAKTTCATTAATTATGATTAATACTTTATATTAGGAAACAATCAAAAATTCTATGAAATCACATATTCATCAAATGAAATGGACGGTTGAGATTGAGTTGTATTGGTTACACAAATGTCAAGGGTTGTATAATAACCAATCTCTCACACTCTATCTATCTATCTATCTATATATATATATATATATATATATATATATATATATATATATAAAAATAATAGATACCTACCGACCTTTTAAAGAAAATCACTCAATAACACCCCTCTTCTCTCCCTATAAAATAACCTCATCTCTCAACCTCCTACGAATCTCACTTCATTCACATATACTCTCTCCCCCTCCCCTCTCTCTCTCTCTCTGCACATATATCTATATCTACATATATATATATATATATATATGTTTTCCTCGTTATGCGTGCATATTCCTATAGATATACAATAAACTTGTGAATATTTTTTACCCACATAAATCCGACCAATTTCACAGATGGAGGAACAAAGATGTGTTGACGAGAAGAGTTGGATAAAAAACGATGATACAGAAAAGGAGGAATACACAATCTTGCAGATCGATACACCCTTGCAAGAAGACAACCAGAGAGACAGCGAACATACTCATTCATTTTCTTCACGACAAATGGAGGTCATCGTTGCCTTATGTGACACCTTGTTACCCTCCATTAACATTTCAAACGATCGTCTTCTCGATGATTCACTTCTCAACCTCTACCACACTTCAGCTTCCATGATCGGAATTCCCCTTCAAGTAAATATTTCTCATCCTAAAACCACATTAAATTCGATCAATTACCTTCTTTTCTAACTCCCAGTTACTGTATATGCTTGCTGTTTTATATATATATATATACTGAGGTGTTTACTGGTGTTTTGTAGGTTGCCATGATGATGTCGACAAAAACGGAGCACCCGAAACAGTTCTTGGTTCAGTTGAGCTTATGGTTGTTATCAACAGCGATGGGAACGTTGATCCTGTGTGGAAGAGGAAGTTTGTCAAACCAGTTTCCTTACGTACAGAAATTCTCTAGGGTTTCAAGTAAGGAAAGAGAAGCGATACTGGTATCATGGTCTGTCAGTTACTTTTTTCTGTTGAGAATGCTTTTTCGTGCACTGAAATTCGTGATTTCGTTGGCTTTCTTCACTCAGGCAAGTCCTTTCGCATCACTTTTCTTGCAATTTTATGGCATATGATATATACATAACACTTGTATCCTATTAATATCATTTAATATATATAGCCGTTCAATCAAGAAGAACTGATTAGTTTGTGCTGAGATATAATCTTAATCATAAATCAATTGATAAATTAAGAAATTTATAATTTTGGTAATTTTGAATTAAAATTTTTAATGTAAAGACATTTTAAATATTTTCTTTCCTCTCCCCTCTCTTCTCTCTCCTTCCTCCGACCTCCGGTGATACCTAAAAATATTGAGTCTGTTAAACAAAAAACACAGTGTGATACCCAAGCACATATAAGATGCATTGTGATATTATTGTGTTACATCTCCGATCGACCACAAAAACGACTTTAGTGTGATATTCAAGTACGTAAGATTCATTGTGATACCACTGTGGTATCACTGGAAGACGATGGCAAGAGGACGGGGAACAGAGAGAGGAGAGAAAATAACTAAAATGTCCTTGCATTACAATTTTAATTCAAAACTACCAAAATTATAAATTTCTTAATTTATTTATTGATTTGTGATTGAGATTAAATCTTATAATTATCACAAACTAATTAGTTATCATTTAATTAATCTCATATATATATATATATATATATATTTTTTTTTTTTGAAGAAAAACATGCATACACGCAGCCTTGCACACATACGGATGCAGGTATCATTGATATGTACTTTAATACGTTCTATTCATATATCTGACATCTTTAAGTTGATGGACGGACAAGGTCTTTGTTAAATAAATCAATAATATTAAAATATATATTATATTTCAAATATAATTATGTTTATTTATATAATTAATACAATTTAATTAATTAAAATATTTATAAAAATGATTATGATTTATTTATTATGATTTAAATATTTATAAAAAATAATTAAAATTAATTAATTATGATTAATATTTTATATTAAAAAAATCATACTTTTACAAAATTATATATTTATTAAATTTAATAAACGGTTAGAAATTGAGTTTTATATATGTATAATATAAATAGCCACTAATTATGATGCATGCGTCACCTAAGTTAGAGTGTGGACATAGTAAGTACTAGAGCATTAAGAGCATGTCCCATTAAAAAGAGTTAGCTTCCTTTTCACTTATTACATATTTTAATGGACATTTAATTAAAGTTTTTATAGATTGTTTGTTTATTTTTTAATAGTTTTATTAAAAGACAATTTTTGAATCGTTAAGAGGTAAATCTTGTTTGGTAAAAAAAGTTTATTTCTTAATTGTTCTAAAACCCTCTGAATGATTTTGTATCATGGATCTCTCTTAATCATTAAGAGTCCTAATTTCACTGTACACAATTATCAAACAATTATATTTCATTTTTCATTATATCATGAGAGCCTCTTAATCATTCTGGCCACTTAATCATTCAACAACAAACCATTCAACAATTGCCAAGTAGCCCCTAAATAACTATTTTAGTTTCTTTTTCTAGAAACAGATGTGGGTTTTATTGGATTTGAGTTTTTTTATGAGGGTTTTAGTTTATGGGATTGAGTTTTGGAAACAAATACGGGAAGAGTGTTGGTCGTCGATGACACTGAGTAGAGACGCGGGAGGAAGGTGGTTGGTGTATCTTTAATCTGGTTTGAAGGAGGGTTAGAGAATAATATTGTTGGAGAAGAGGGGTTAGTCTTTCCCGATCTGTTTGGGTTGAGGTCGGATCAGATGAAAATCACGTGTCCAAAATCACAACTCTTATTCTCCTTACACCAATGAAATTTAGACATGTCAGATTTTTATTTATTTTAAGTTTATTTAATTCATCTTCATTCTCTCTTTGATTAGTAAACCTGGATCAAACGTAAAAATTTAGGACATGTGATTTTTATCGGCGGTGGGTGTCGTGAAGGGAAAGAGTAGGGGCGATTTCTTTTTCTTTTTATGTGGTATGCATGTTTTTTTTTTGTTAAAAAGACCAAATTGCCCCTATATGAGGGGGCAAGTTGTTGACTTAACATACACTAAACTAATAGGGTTAACTTGTGTAGTATGTGAAACACATAATCAAGATTATTAATGTACTTAATGAATTTTAGGGATAAAAACAGCCAAAAACAATGGAATTCAATATAACAATTACTATATGATATTTGAGACCTATATTTTAGTTTGTCATTTGAAAGTATATGCCCGTTTGACTCAATATTACGTGATTCGTACAAAACACTTACAGTATTATTGTGAAGTATTTATATTTTATGTCCAAGATCAATTCGCTGAAATTAATAAATTCAAATTCTACTCATCGTGGTTAAAAAAATTAGGGTTTTTAAAATTGCATCGTTTTTAAGTTGATGTATACTTCTTTAAACTAACAAAAAGTAGCTCCGAGTGTCGTTTACGGGTACTATTATGATCACAAGTATGAAACAGTTTTACTTCTTAATTTTTCTGTTAACAATAGAAGAAAACAGATTAAACTCTTTGGATGTTGCAAAAATCCCCTTCCCATATACCATTTTTAATGAAACATAATCTTTATGGTTAATTTTTATTTCATATTATATATATCAATTATTTGTTGCTCCATCTGTAAAAATTCATGGTTCTGTCTTTAAAAATTGTTTGATTAGTTTGAGTTTGAGCTCTAAAGGTTAAAAGTGTCTGAAGGTCTCATGTTCAAATTCAATGAGGAATAAAATCTTCTTATAGTTACAGAGGTTCGAATACAATAACTCCGGACTACCTGTAAAAGCGTAAAAATAGGTAGTCATCCTGATCTTAATTGACTTGTATAACGAGTTGGATATCTAGGAAAAATAAAATTCTATCAGAGTGCGTACGAGATTGAGATTTCAAATGAATAAAGAAAACTTATTGCAATAAATTTTGTATGTTATTTGCAGGTAAATGAAAAGAATGAAAACCCTTCTTGGAAAGCCATTGATTATTGCGGACCAGACCCTGATTTTGTTCCACAAATTTCGCATGCTTTCAACACCGACGACATTCTCGGGCCGCTTTACACCGCCGTGGTCTGCCTGAATAAACCCCGACAAATGGTTGCAGAAGCCCTACAGAGATCACGACTAGCCATCTCAATCCCTCGTCATCCCAAGCTTACATCTATGGTTATTAAATGCGATGTAGTTGTAGTTGGCTCAGGCTCCGGTGGTGGGGTGGTCGCCGGAGTTTTAGCTAAATCCGGCTATAAAGTTCTTGTCTTGGAGAAAGGGAACTATCGTGCAAGAAGTAATCTTTCTCTTCTTGAAGGTCCATCCATGGACGAAATGTATCTTGGAAAAGGATTGTTGGCCACTAGCAACATGGAGGCTGTAATACTTGCAGGTTCCACCGTAGGTGGTGGCTCCGCCATAAACTGGTCGGCGTCGATCAGAACCCCACAACACGTACTGAAAGAATGGTCGGAATGTTATGAACTGGAGTTGTTTCAGAGTGGATTATATGAAGAAGCCATGGATGTCATCTGCGAAAGGATGGGTGTTCAATCTGAAATCGAAGATGAAGGATTCAATAACACAATTTTAAGAAAAGGGTGTGAAGAATTAGGTTATCCGGTCAACAACATCCCAAGAAACTCACCTCCAGATCATTATTGTGGCTGGTGCTGCCTTGGCTGCAAAGATGGAAGAAAGAAAGGTACATCAGAGACATGGCTGGTGGACGTGGTGGAATCCGGCAACGGTGCAATTTTACCAGGGTGTGAGGCCGTGAAAGTTGTGCATGATCGGAAAAAAGGAAGAGAGCGGAGCACCGCCAGAGGGGTGATGTTCGAGTTCCGACACCAAGATGGTTCAAAAGAAGTTTGTTTGGTGGAGTCCAAAGTAACCATCGTCTCATGTGGAGCTATGTGCACCCCTCAACTCCTTAAAAGAAGCGGATTAAAGAATCCCAGTATAGGAAAGAACCTTCATATTCATCCGGTGGCGATGGCATGGGGGCATTTTCCGTTGGAGAGGTGGCCGGAAGTCGAGAAAAAGAGCTACAAAGGTGGAATAATGACGGCCATGTCCACTGTCGTTGCAGATTTCAAAGGCTCCGGTTACGGTGCCATTATACAAACACCGGCGTTGCACCCTGGTATGTTCTCGGCATTGATGCCATGGGTTTCCGGTTCCGACTTCAAGAATCGAATGACTAAATTCTCAAGAACAGCCCATATATTTGCACTGGCCAGAGACAAGGGTTCCGGCGAACTAGGGCAAAAATCATCGATCAGTTACCAGATGGACATCATCGACGAAGAGAATCTGAAAAGAGGACTCGAGAAATCCCTGAGAATTCTGGCGGCTGCCGGAGCGGAAGAGATCGGAACCCATAACAACAAAGGGAGAACAATAAACGTGAAAAAGGTGAGTTATCGTGAACTGGAGAAGTTTGTGAGAGAAGAAAGCTCAAGGGCATTGAGAGATTTATCAACACCGATATGTTCAGCACATCAAATGGGGAGTTGTCGGATGGGGGTTACCGGAAAAGGGTCGGCGGTGAATCCGATGGGGGAGACATGGGAGGTGGAAGGGTTGTATGTGGCGGACGCAAGTGTTTTTCCGACGGCATTGGGTGTGAATCCGATGGTTACAGTTCAAGCCATTGCTTATTGCACTGCTCAATCTGTTCTTGAATCTCTTAAGAGAATGAAGGATACTGGCTATGGCATCTGAGCATAACGTATTTTAAAATGAAGACTTGTTATATATATCATTGAATTTTGTTTTGAAACATTCAAAATAATTGTTGTATTTATTTTTAAATGAATCATAACGGTCGAGATTTGAAGGATTACGATATGAGTTGGAGATGGGGTGGACAAAAACCCGACCGATTTAATAAACTGGGTCAACTTAACCTGAAGTCACCTGATGTCTAATCAAGTTGTAAAATATGTAAACTGTATGTATCAGTTGAAATTGGAATTATTTGAACTCAACCCAACACGATGAAGATGATACCCTTCTTATATGTTATACACTTCTGCTACACTTGATAATGATGCATTTGATCTACACTTGTGCTATATTGTTGATGTTGATGTTGCGTTTGCTTTTTCTTTGTTTCCAAAGTATCATAAAAAGTGGAGTAATCGGTGGTAGTAACTAATAATTGCTTATGATGTTGTTGCAGTGTTGTCATTGTTTACTAAATTTGTTGGCTAAGTGTTGATTAGGATAAGAGATCTGACTAAGTTAAGAGGTCCGACTAAAATGAGCATTCACTAAGAAGCAGGGTTTTAAATGGCGTGACACGTAGTGTGGCGGAGAGGTCAAGCCTCAAACCTTACATGTTAAGGCGAGGCCATGGCGTTTTTCAAGGCGCGAGTTAATGCGACAAATCTTTATATATAGTATGTATACAAATGTCTATGTGAGCGAGTGTACTGAATAATAATGATTAAACAAATTAACTACAACATATAAAACTATAGACAAAAGAACAAGCATGCATTCATAATTTGATATCAAATATACAACGTAACACCCTCAAATTTAGAACAATAAAATACCATTTTGAACAATAAAGCTTCCATAGATAAGAAAGGTTTAAACCCATTTTGGGGGGGGGGGGGGGGGGGAATTCGCCAAATAAGCATAATAATCAAGAATTGAGACATAAATAACAACCTAATAATCTCATGATATAGTAACACCAGACTGTAATCTAGGAATAAGCAAAACTTAATAAATAAATGTAAACTCACTTGATACTTTTTTAGTGAAAACCTAGAAAACCAAACAAAATATCCAATTGCAAGATGTAGACTTGAAGCTTGATCACCCACTTGAATCCCCAAATCTAGATGAGAATCAATTACTTGAGGCTCTTTTAATTTCTGCTCCAAGAGTTTTCCCCACCGGTTTAACGAAGGAGAAAAGTAGGGGTGGATAAGTAATTAAGGAAAAAGAGGAATCAATGAGAAAAAGGGGGTTGATCCGTGGCTTCGGGGGTTCTAGGGTATGAAGCGGTTTTTGGCCTGGTTAAAGCCGCCTGCCAAAGCCTCCTGGTTCCATCTCAAAACACACACTCACACGCATACATCAGACCACACGGGCGGGTTCTTGCACAAGTTTAGGCTCCCTGCAAGCTGCCTTCGACCACTATTTTGGTAGCTTATGACCTCGCCTATTACCACAAGCATACAATGTCTTAGGCGACTTTTGGTGTGGGTTTAGCCGCCTAAAAAGTCATCTGATTCATTTGATGGTGTTCCGACGGCTAGAAATGATCTTTCTATTGATCCGATTTTCCCTGCATCTTAAGGTAAAGTTTAGCCAATAACTTTTTTATGAAACAACCAGAGTTTAATCTCCAACATGCCAAATTCTAAGATTTAAAATACAACGAATTTTGCGGGTGTGACAATCAAAGTTTAAAAAATGATATCACGAGACCATAACAAAAAAAAATGTCTTATTAGTGGCTTCATAATCCATATATCTCTAATCCAAAATTCTAATATCATATGCGGAAACATATTAGAGCACATCAGAGTGGATTAGATTAGATGTAGCTTAGAAATAAATTATCCTTCCATGTAATCTTCATTGTTTATTTTCGTCATCGAAATCGAATTCACAATGTTCCTCGCCTTTCAGCTTGTGGTTAATAAATTTTCGCTTTCATTGAATAACTAGAATCATTAATAGTTGATTTAATAAGACATAATTTATGTATAAAAAAATAAAAATAAAAACAGACTAAACCCATTCACATCTTAACAATCCTTATAACTCGCTGTAATGCTTCATAACTCACCATAACGTGCCATACTTGACTTTTAAGATTCAAGATCTATCAGCCTTCTCTCCGTTTTAGTTGGTTTTTAGGTTTTCTTCAAAACCTAACTTTTAAGTTCATCGTAACTTTTCTTAAAACTTAATTTATACATGTCAAATGCTTCATTTTAGTCTCTTAAAACATTTCTTTTGATGTATTTTACATATTTGTGGATTTGACCAATTTTATGTATTTTGAAAGATTTGGGGGTTTTCACCTTTTTTGCTAGAAAATGATGGATTTTCAAGCAAGTATTACAAAAATGTATTTTTAACATATAGATGTATTTTGGAACTTCAATATCATGATTTATGTTTATTCTTACGTTCACATATATATGGAGACATTTAACGGAAAATGGTTATATTTTGGGAAAAAGAGTATCATTACTTGTGAATAAGACGATCCTTAAACTTGCGAACTCTTGGAAAATATGATGGAAATATTATGGTTTATCGGGACTCGTGGGAGTTTTGGTCTATTTGGTAAATCTTGTGATAAAATGATTTAAGAGGACACTTAAATGGTGAAAACTTTGTGTAATTACAGTTGGTTTCTTTAATGTTGTGACGTATATTAGATTGTAATGAAATGGATCTATAAGTATAGGAGTCAGGTTTTTAATTGAAAAGGGATGGTCTTCCCGTTGTAACTAGAAATAAGGACTGGGTCATTGGTGGCAATTTTTTGGTACAAATTCTTGGAGTCGGATACCAGCCATTGACCACATTCTGTAATTTCTAGCGAATGAGTACAACTACGATTCCTGGTGGCCAAGAACTATAAAGCAAGGTTGCTGGAACTTATTGGTCATTGATCTTTAGTGTGAACTCTATAACATGGAATTTTGTGGTCTACTTTTGTGTTCCACCACTACCCATGAGAATCAGGTCTCTCTCGTCATCGTAATATGTATTTTGGACCTTATGGTCTTTATTTGGAATATATGAACTTGAGTTTTAAATCAAGCTTATAAACTTTTACTATAATGGTTATTTGCATTATTTATAACTGTACTGTATATCAGGTTCACTTAGCGGTGGGACTCCAAAGTCTTAAGCAGAGTGTTTGATGCCGGTAAAGGCACTTTTGGGATTGTTAGCTTTTGATCAATTTGGTGTTATACATTGACAGGATTCTTTTGAAGATGACAGTGACACTCGTCCATAATCTAAATTTAGAATAGTTTAGATTAGCAGGTTGTTATTTATCCTCTATATATATTTGGGTTGTAAACGCTGTATTATTTTCCTTTTTAGATGATTTTATATTTATAGGATTCATTAATAGGCATTGTTATTGGTATTGGTGTGGTAATTTAAGTAGTAAACTTCTTCTCCAAGGAACTGATATTGTCTCTCATCTCATTAAAATCCACCTGGTGTCGAGTTTATAATCATTTATACTTTGATAATTGTTCAGTTGTTAGCCCCAGATATGAAACAGATGAACTCTCCACTTTTCTTGGAAGCTTAGGGATTGTTTCTTTACCTCTTAATAGTTTCATTAAGAGGCAATTTCTGTATCATTAAGAGGTAAATCTTGTTTAACAAAAAAAATGTCTATTAATGATTCTAAAAACCTTTGAATGGTTTTGTATCCTGGGTCTCGCTTGACCATTAAGCGCCCTAATTTCATCGTAAACAATTACCAAACAATTATATTTCATTTTTCATTATATTATGAGAACATCTTAATTAATTATTTTGATTACTTAATCAATCAAATCATTCAGCAACTACCAAACTACCTCTTAGCAATTTTCTGAGAGATCTCTTTGAGTGAAAATCACATTTCAGCTTTTAAATTTGTTGAAGTCAGATGATTGTAGAACCTCTATAGGAGCAGGTAAAAAACAATGTATTAATTTGTTGAAGTCAAACGATATTTCAACTTTAAATCATATATGATTAGAAAAAGAACTAAAAAATAATAATAAGTTTTTATTGCATTAAATTAAAAAA